ATTTATCAATCGTTTCCAGTTTCAATAACTATTATTGTATCATTTATTTTTACTAAATGTTAACGGTGGTTGTAGATTGCGGATGTTCAAATGGACGGAATAATTTTGCCCGCTTTGATTTCGAATTTTCATAAACGTACATTATTGTATCGAAATAGTCTTTTAATCTTGTGATATGCTACTTATTGACGGACTCGGAGGAAACGTCTTTACGCTTTTGAATGTTCTAAAGGACTGTGTCTGGGCACCCAAAAAGAAAGTTGGGGTCCCCTTGTACCTAGGAACTGTTCACTTTATGGTATCGCATTGTGCACTGCGTGACTCGAAGACGGACACCAGACACATCTGGTGGAAGTGTTAGTGCCTTTGTTTAAAATAAGACATTTTTGTCCTCGCTTGATTATTTCCATAGGGTGTTGTTAGAAATAATCCAACATGGCACAGAACATTTATAACCCAGTAAGTAACGTACATAAGTACAATAATTGGTTTAAGAAAGATTTCTACGTACATAAATTATTTCTTATAATATTAGTGAATAATCTTACTTGATTTAAAAGTGTAAACGAAGTGTAGTATAAGTATAGTAAATAAAATGTAGTGTAAATTCATCACGTAATACGAATCACAAATCATTTTTATATCAATATAGGGAATAGTAGAATGTATTTAATTCCATTACAATTTGAAAAAAATAATCTTTTCCGTTATTGCTCGTATGAAGTAACATTTACCGATATCTTTTAATGGAAGTTTTCTAAATTAATTTTAATACGTCTTTGTGCTTTCTTATAATAGTTCAACACTTTAACAAATATCAAAATTATCTTACAGCCTTTCCTCTTATATTTACTTGCAAGTGGGACTTTTGAAAGTACCATGAAATACGTATGTCTTGTGTTGGACAGTTAAATTGTTGAATAAACTTCGAATACTATAAATTATATCGTGAAAATGAAAATTGATAATAGTACTTCAATATTACAAAGGTATGTTAAGATTTAGAATTTATTGACGAAGAGACGTATCTACTTGTGAGACGTGCATGTCAAATCTACAGAAAATGTTAAATAGGTAATAGAATGTTTCAATGCGATTAAAATTGTTTTTAAAATATGTAAATATCAGTTGGACTAAAATAAATGTGATCTATTATTGTTCCTGAAAAGCAACATATACCTATTCACGTTTATAAGTGCCATAAATCACTTTATACTTACAAGACTTTTAATATTTATATTATTTATCATTTTTTCGTTGAGAATCGTGATTCTTATAAAGTACTTCTATTTACTTGGTCAGTATTTTTTTTAACATTAATGGTAAGTATTTTTCGAAATAAACAGTCAGTAAAAATGAATATTTTGGTCAGTGTAAATAATTAATTGTCGGTATTAAATTGCATTTTGTTCATCTATTTAAAATACCGACCACTAATTAAATACACTGACCATTTACTTAAAATACCGATTGAAAACTTTAAAATACTGACCTAATAAAGGTTTACTTAACGCATAGATCCAGTATTAATAAAACAGCACTCTTTGTTTGTTAAAAAAAAATGTTGGAAATGTTCTGAACAAAGGGTATTGAATATAATTTTTGCCAGAAACTTGCGACACCAACGTTACGATGGATTGTTGAGCAGATGTAATAGACAGAGAGGAAATTCTTTTTATATTTAATACTAAATTCACGAACTAAGAAAAGTATGTAATATTTTCAAAAGAATGAAGACATCCACAAAAATGACATTCACTCACAATCCATGCAGAGGTTATTGACCTACCAGCTGTTATTGACCTGCAAAGGACGCAGGCATTTAAAATACGAATTTCACTTATTAACTTAAACCATTTTTTTTTTTTTCGAAAAAATCCATCACATTTAGCTGCATCTTCGAAATAAATTTTCCGATTCTTAGCGATAAATATATTTACTAAAAGAACAAGTCGACAAAATTACAAGTCAGACCAATGAAGATTGTCTCAGCTGACAGTTGAGCCAGTGTCCAAAATGGAGTTTTGAAAGAAACGCTTTTAAAGTCCCAATTTGCTTTTGTTTACCAATGAATAATATCTGTTTCGACTTACAATGTTTTATCGATACCTGAGCGTTTGCAGTCGTTTATTGTGAATTTTGTTTTACTTCATACTACGAAAACTGTATCTATTAAACGCAATTGTATTAAAATTATGTAAAAAAAACTTGCGTGGAGAAATTTACTTGGACATTTTTATCTTTTCATAATTAATAGATATCTATAATGTTCTTTGTAAACCATATAAAATAATATGCTTTCAGGATAGAGACGAATTGTCTCAGCAGAAAAATAAGAGTCCACCTTATCATTTTAGAAAAGAAGAACAAATATCAAAAATCAAGTTATATTAACCCCTTAACATATGACAACGTGTCAGACTCGTGGCAGAGATTCTGATGAAGATGTGGCAAAAATCGTTATATTAGTAAGAAAAATTCATTGTAATCCTAACTTTCGTTTGAATTTGTAAGACTGAGGATTACGAAGTGTAAATTAATTTGTGACAGATTAGTTTTTGTTACCTGGTACAGTACTAGAATAGAAAATGGCTGGCGCTTAGACGCATAGTCAGAAAAGAAATCATATGTTAAGGGGTTCATGAAAAGGGTTTCATACAATCTGTAAAGTTACAGAATTGAAATTGAGTCTTGGAACTAATATTTTCTTCTTCCTTACTATTTCGTATGGCATAAACATATCTTATGAGAATTATAAGAAAGAAACAGAAAACGAAACAACGTGGAAAACGTTTAGTGTCATCACTCTTATAGGTACACAACAATTGTTTTCATAATTGAAAAAGGAAAGGAGATCAAAGCTCTTTCTTATCGATAAATTTACAAAGAAATTTTGCAAATTAAATATTGTTCTGAATAAATGCACTTTTTTATTTACTACCGTTTTAACACTTGCAAACGTTACATGAAAATCATTGCTATGTATGTACACTACCGGCCCAAAGTTTGGAATCACCGAGCATTGCAATTTACACAAAAATTTGAGAATTTTTTATCGTTCGAATCAATTGATACGAGATAAATTGATAAACGTAGAATTGAGGTAAACTTCAAATCTATAAAAAATTAGCAGCAGATTTAATATTGATGAAAAGTGGGAGGTGATTCCAAACTTTTGGCCGGTAGTGTATATACTACTGTACGTATCGGTATCCAACTCAAACTAATCAGGTTGAGACGATGTTGGACCCACTTTTATCAAAAGATCTTGCCATCAAAATTTTCACGTTGACATAGAATAAAAATGATACAAATTTCATTTCTCCTGAAATAATACGATGACTCATTCACGTGATCATGGCTAGCAGCTTTTCTCTTTCATTGTTTTTTTGCTTCAGCGAGAAGTGTAGAGTTATAACATGCTAATTTTTTGAAACAGAAATTTGTCACGAGCGTATCGTTTCAACGAAATACTACTGTAAATTTAACGCGTACATATGTGTCACTATATGTTTCTTCACTGTATAATTGCCGCAACTTTTAATCGAACGCTGTATCTCTTACTATTTTATATTACGCTATCTCATTAACGACTATTTATTAATTGCAAATTTGTTTTAATGTTTCGATGCACTTTAACATTCCGTAATCTCATAAGTATTAGATTTTAAATTAAAAAAGACCGAAAACTCTTTCTCAAGGAAAATGGAAATTACTCGCGTACATTTCTTTTCCCTCTGATACTTTTCAGATCGATACAATTAACGCATTCGTTTCCTCGGTGTAACGTTATCACGACATAGGTGTATGTTTAGCAACAATAATCCATTTGTAAACGACGTGCTAGCGACATATCGTTTTTCTTTGTCGTTTCAGGTTAATTTACGGCAACAAAAGTACTACGCAAGAGGAGCAAAACGTAAGAAAGAAGCCGTTAAATTGTCTCGAGCAATTTTCACTCTGTTTCTTTGGGAAAAAAGTGAATAATGCAAGTTTCGAACGACCGATGAACGTTTCAAGCGTTAAACATGTTGGCTCGCTTTGAGGAATGCAAAACAGTGGTAGATGTTACAGTGCAATTCAAGTACTCTTAAGAGCTGTGTTTATGATCAAAGTAACGCACTCGAGAAACCTGTTCGATAACGAAATTGTCGCGAAATTAGATTGGTCAAATATTTTGTGTACAGTTCGTTGAAAGATTGGACGATTATCACGAAAAATCTTCGTTTACCAATTGATCATGAAGTTTATGCTGATAAGGCGTAATTTTCTACACAATCAAAATCACGATCGACCGAGCTGAAACATTAATACGGACACATCAATCTTCTGTCGTGCTTCCACGTTTTTGTCTAAGGAGACATCCTTATTTTATAGTAAGTTACAGTCGTATACTTTAATGTACATACATACATATACGTTGTTCTATATTTTATTGAAAAGATTCTCTGTATACTTTCTACGATAGAATACGTTAAATAATTTAGAAAAATATTTAAAATAGGCAGTTTTGTTAATATAAATTATAACACTGGAAATAATTTGTATTAAATTTAGGTACGTTATTTGTGAACGCGTTAATAAAAAAGAAGTATTTTATAAAACTTTACTTTCTTCGTTTTCAACCTCGATGCGCCTCAGCTCTCTCTCTCTCCCTCTTTTCTAGTTCACGAATAGATTCATAAGTGCTTATTTTTAAAAGATACCTCTATTTTCCCTACTTACTTAACGCACAGTTTACAAACTACGTTCGTAGACTTAACGTTGCATTAACTGAGTTTAGACAGATTCACAATAGAACTGTAAAGTCGAAGTAATCAAATCGGGAAAAAAAAGGCATTTACGAATCTACGTTCACACATTCTCCTATTATCTTTCGCCGCAGAATACGTTGGCGAAGTTCTTACAGATGTCCGTGGGACAACCTATACAATCGCTGAAAGGTCCTTTAACATTAATCGAAAGAACTTCCTGTTGTCTGTTCGCAGAAAAAAGTAGAAATGTCGCTGATCAACTTTACCTTGCCGTATCAGACGGCAACATCTACACCATTCCTCTACGGCGGACAAAACGGAGGACAGTCGACGGTGAACAACCTTCGTTTGAACGCCGTACTTCCGCCTGCGCCTGCTCCAAATTTCAACGAGCGGGAACCATTTCAGAATGAGCCGTACATACCGCCCGCTGCTTATCAGCAGCAACAAAGACAACGTCAAGCAACCTTCGATCAGCAAAGAAGTCCAAACGTGTTCGTCGAGCATTCGTCTTTCTCGTCGACGCAGGACACTCGATACGCGAATTACAATCAAGATTTCAGGAGGACTCAACCGCGACAACAGCAGCAGCAGCAAATGAGACCTGCGCCACCGTCACCGCCAGTGCAACAGCAGCAACAGCGAGTTGAAACGGAGAGGGATCAGGATAGCCTCAGGACATCGAGAATGCCGGAACAAGAAGGTTATCCTGACAGACCAAATGGGTAAATTCTATAATTATTCAATTATTATTTAAAGCGTGCCTAACTTTAATGGAGGCTTACGTGAACGAGACCGATTACTCGTTAAATTGAGAAAACAGTGCAATTGCTGTTATCGTTAATTTGACGGAAGGATAGGAATTTCAAATTAGTGCCAACCATAGCATTCTGCTGATAGTCGTTAAGCAACGACAAGTGTTTCCTGATAAAACAGTAGGAAGATACTGGACATAGTGTCAGAAAAATGAAGCTGTAGTCAGATAAATCTGTTGTTAAATGAAAAATAGCAGATTACTAAGGCTATTAAAATTAATCATAAAGAAGATTTTCAAGGATTAAACGGTCACCTTAGAAAGATGGAATAGAAAAGAAGGAAAATATGTAGCGTTCCTTTCGAAATACTGTCCGCTCTTGGTAATACAAGGATGGGGCTATTGCTATTATAAAATGATTACTTTAACCACTTGGAGTATCCCCTAGGTATGAAAAACTTTATTTACAAAAGTTGTACGGTACCGAGGTGATCATAACATACCATTAATCATTTTTTTGTGGATGGACGATTGTCGGAGATTTCAATACCAGCTGTTTTTTTAAATTGCATGTTATACAGTTTTATCCGAAACAAAAAATAGTTTTGTTATTAGTGTCACTTGAACTACGTTTCTGCAAAGTTTCGAATTTTTCTTGAATTTTCAAGTTGCCGAAATTCTCTTGTTAGTAATAATTTTTTTGTGTGTGGAGGTTTTCCGGAGATTTTAAGGTCACCCCTTTTTCTTTTAAATAGCATGCTACACGTTTTCTCTCTAGTAGAATAGCAGACGTTTAGACAACTTCAGTAATCTATAGTACAAGATCATTGAACGTTAAATAAAGAAATAAAACAGCGATTCTTATGTCATGAAAGGTGCTCGAAGTGATGTCTGTTTGTATCACAATAACACTGCTATTGTTGAACTGCTGAAGCCTGTACACTTGTTATCACTTCCAGACTGATCCTAGCACATCCTGCAATGGTTCTTACTTCACATCTTCTGGCGTTGTTGGCTTTCTTCGGTACATAATATCTCTGTATGAACACTAGAACTATCGGCCGGGTCAAAATGACCTATCAGCGATTTTTTAAAAGTGAATTTTTATGTAACTAAAACGTGATTAAAAAATTAGTTTCGTGTCGGTACAAATAGAAGTACAGTGGATTCCGGTTAATTGGGACGCCGGTTAAGCGGGACCGCCGTTTATTTGGGACACTTACTTATTTTTCATTACTTATTAATGTTATTTTATTGCTTATTGTTAGCTTTGTTTGCATGCTGAAACACACATTTGCATTCAAGACCGAATATTACATACGTTTTTCAATAAATCGTTTTTGGCTTCATTTTTTACGTTGTTCAGACTTTGCCCGGTGAAATTCGCTTTTTTGGGACAAATTAGTCCGGTTCCAAATGTGTCCCAATTAACCGGAATCCACTGTATACACTACCGGCCAAAAGTTTGGAATCACTGAGCATTGCAATTTACATAAAAATTTCCAGAAAAAAGTCAGTGACTTTGAGAATTTTTTATCGTTCTGTGATGCCCGGTTTGCTCCAATTCCTCGAAACTAGGAGCAGATATTGGGGTATCACTGAATTAAAGCACTTAACCCTTTCGCGACGGCGGAACTAGGCATCAGTGCGCCACTAACGGACGTTAGTCGTGCCGTTAGTGCACACCATGAGTGTTTCGCGTTTTTCGAGCTCCCAGTGTGTCCGTGTAAAATCTTAGAGGATTTCGTTGGAACAGCAGAGGACTTAAGGATGTATTGGATAAAGGGAATGTTGTCGAGGCCTTGTTCTCTATTTTAAAATAAATCCAGTAATAAATCTTCACTTTGAGTTGTTGAGGCGACGCGCTTAGTGTATGCCGGATATAACCGGCGCTAGCCAGTTTGAAGCATTTAGTGGATGCCGGATATAACCGGCGCTAGTCGCGAAAGGGTTAAGAATCGTCGTTGCGTAGAAACAGAACTTTGTTTGCTCATGGTAAAACAGAGAATGAACGCGGAACTGGAGAAAATATATTAAGAGTTAATATTTAAGGGTTCTGGGAAGATGGACTTTGGGTTGTGACTATGCGGAAGAGTTGAGAGGAGAGTTGGAAGGTGAAGAGTCCAGTATGAGTAATGGTGAAAGTGGGTGACTATAGTTGTAAATACAGATAAAACTAAGGACTAAGAAGGAAAATATTAGAGGGTGTAACAGTTCGAATCAATTGATACGAGATAAATTGATAAATGTAGAACTGAGATAAACTTCAAATCTATAAAAAATTAGCAGCAGATTTAATATCGATGAAAAGTGGGAGGCGATTCCAAACTTTTGGCCGGTAGGTATATGCAAAAAATAAAATCAGGAAATTACAAACGATAATCCCTACTAGTGTGGGACATTTACTTTTTTTGGGAAGTTGCTAATGGGTCATTTTTGACCCGGTCGGTAGTTCTAGCGTTAATCGCCATGTTGTACGTAGGTATTTGTAACATAAAGTAACACATGGATACGGTAAGAAATATAAACAGTAAATTCAGGAAATTGACATTTCTAGGAAAATCTGAGCTTCATTAGTATCCATTGTAATTTTGATGACAAGTTCATGTGAAAATGAAGCTTTCTTTCAGCGAGCAAGTAGGAAAGCTCCTCGTTTATGGAGAAAGTCAGCGAAACTCAATAAGGCCAGAACCATTGTACGTATGCTGAACGCAATTCGGATCGTACGCCGCGTTCACACCGTACGTTTCAACAGTTGTGTAAAAAATTAAGAGTGTATCACGGGAGTGGGAACACTGTAATGGGAAACGCCAATGCTCAGATTAGTTCATAGCAGATTGAACGTGAATTTGGCATCAGTAGCAGTAATGTAACACGAATTCTTACCCAACATAAGTCTCATCGACATCAAAAATTTAAAAACCGCGTTATATTTTATACTAATTATGAAGGAGTAAATTTGCACAATATGCATTACTGCTCAGTCGAAGAACCATACTGGTTAAGAGAAGTTGAAAATCGGTAACACGGCCGATAAACACATGGTGCAGTATCATAGTGAGAAAGCAATTACTTACTGGCATTTGCAAATAATTACTTCTGCCACTTACTGACACAAAATATGAAAGCTTTATGCAAGACGATTTCGGAATTTTAATAGAAGATGTATAATTAAATATTCACCGAGTAATTTAGAATCAACATACATATTAGGTCACCCTATAAGTCACCAGCGGCCGTAGCCGCGATCGCCGAAGTCAAGATGTACTGGGCGGCGTTCCGTAAGAAGATGGGTGGCCGCTCCACATCCGTCTCTGGAAAAGCCGTGCTGCTGGTTTTATCGGGCTGAAATTTCACACAGACGTTCGTTCCATCCTTACTAACGTCTAGAAATTGAAAAAGTCCAACAGCAAAAATCCTTACCGCCAAGTTTGGGTTAAAGCATGGTCAGGCGTCCTCGCTCATTCTCCGGCTTGTTCTTCGGTTGGTGGTTTCGATGGGAAGTAGAAACCTGGTCTGATAGGGGTATAAGCTACAAAGCTGAGGCACCCTGAGTCCTTCTAAGGACGACCCACACTAGTAGGTTACCCTATAAGTAATGTCGTTCTAGAAGCCTAGTTTTAATACAAAAATAATAGTATTTACATTTACTGTTAATCGATGATATATTGACCATTGTATACGAGGATCATTTGCTACTTTTCAGGCAACTTTTCAATCCTCTTTTTAAAAAATATTCTCATCTTTTAGTTTAAAAAACTGATCTAATGTTAACTTTAAATGTCTCTATTTTCGAAGTTTCTGCCATTTAAAAAGTTTTCTAGTGAAGGAAATAGATGGTAATCCACTGGGTAAAAAAGAATACGGTAGATGCGGTATTAATTCCCAGTTCAATTGTTTAATTTCCTCCATTTTTGTTTTTGAAATCTAATCATTCCGCAGCATGGTATGAACTGTTACGAATCGCAATGTGCTTGTTGCGAAACCGATAATTGTCCCTCTTTTTGAATCAAACCATTTAAGGAATCTATTCGGGATAGGGGACTCGGGTAGTGCTCGGAAGATAGACTATTAACGCACAACTGTGAATGAACGTGAACAGAGCGCGAAATGCCTAAGCTTACTGATCGGAAAATTGTGTATCGTGTCGTGTGGTGTTCGCTACTTTATAAACTACGTGTGTGTTGTGATTGGTGGTGTGAAACTGTCGTAAGTGGTGATTGGTTTTTTCGGTGTGTTTGGGGTGTGTCTGGTGGTGGTGTGAAAGTGGGGAATTTGTTCTTACATTTGTTATATTGCTTGTTGGAGGTCTGTTTATGATCTTAGGTCATGTGGTGTTCAGGTGTGAGAGGCGTCGTAAAGTATTTTTCGTGCCGGCTAAGACCTCGCTTTTTTGGACGTGCTGGTCTATCGGGAATACCGATGTATTGTTCGGCTCGTCGGTACGGCCGAACAACCCAAGCGACGTCTGTCACGCATGTGACAGAACCAAGGAAAAAGTACTTTCATGCTCCACCTCTTCAAACACGTTACACAAATTCACAAGATGTATTCCTAGCGAAAATAAATATAAAAAAGCTTTTTGCTTTTGATGTGTACGAACAGCGAACCAAGATAGGGAGCGACTACTTATGGGATGATCTAATATTTTACACTTAATAGAAGTCTAATAGAATATTCTAGAATCGATTGATAGGACGTGGTGGACCAATTTCATGACCAGTCCGATATAACGGCGCTTGATTTTTTTCCTGTAAACAGACATCACTTAGAGCACTTCTCATGATATAACATTCGTTGCTTTACTCCTTTATTTAACGTTGAATGAATCTTGATCATTAATATCCGTTATTTTACTAGGGATAAAAAAGTATAGCATACTATTTAACCCTCTAACCTGTAACAACGTGTCAGACTCGTGGCAGAGATTCTGGTCAAGATGTAACAAAAATAGTTACATTGCTAAGAAAA